ACTTGCATTAGAATTGTTTGTCTCACAAAAACACACAGGGTTTGGTTGGTTGTTTTTTTTTTCCCCTGCAGAAAAGGAACATACCCAACCCCCTGCCCTAAACAGGAACTGGATCCCTGGTGATATCTTCCTGTGCTGTCCCTATTTATAGAAGGAAGGTCACCCAAATAAGAACAGAAATGGTATCACGTGATTTTTTGGTGACCAGCTGAATCCTGCACATGGAGAATTCCGAGGGGCACAGCCCACACTGAAAACCCTTTGGGAAGGACACCTCACTGGGGCCATTTTTATGGGGAGGAAAACTATGGAATTCAGTCAGCTCTTTGGAATTCGGGTGTCTTTCCCCAGTCAGGTCATGAGATGGACAGAAATTTCACTGGCAGAACTTTTCTTCAACGTGCAATTGTTGATTGAAAGCCTAAAATAGCCACGTTTCTGTTCTTGCACTGATAGTGGCACAAACAATTGAGGAAAACTGCAAAAATTCAGGAGTCTGTAAAGGTCACTTAGATGGGCAATTTGGAAACAATTTGGAAACAAACACGCAGAAAAATCTGGGAATTTTTACTGTTTATGAAGGATTTAGAACAGTTTCCCTGGAGGTATTGCTGGGTTTGAATTTAGGACCTCTCACACCATGGCTGAGCTTGACACAAAAACTAAGGGAGGAGTTAAATATTGAGCTTCTGACCTGTACCTGGACTGACACACGTGCTTCACATCTAGAAAATCTCTATTTTTTCCCATTCCCTGGAGCCAACAAGCATTTTGCTGTCTATTCTTTTACCATAAACCAACAAAGACGGAAAAAGTCAAGCTTTAAATAGATACATATACCTATTTAAGTACATATTTACGTAAATACATATTTTATACACACAAACAAGCAAAAATAAAGGTGCCTATTTTATATTTGTAAGAAAAAAGCTCTGTGTGACAGCATCCTTCTTTCAAACTCCCTTGGCATAAATTATGATCTGTAATTCCTATCTTATCATGTCAGGCAGGCCTTTGAACAGAACCTAACGAGGAGAGCCAAATATTCCATCATGTTTAATGCCATTTCCAAAAAAAATCAGTATTTACTCAGCTAAATATTTTATGGGCCAGAGATTGAGGGCTACTGAAGATGATGAATTCATCCCTCCAAGGGGTTTTTGTTCCTGGGTAAGTTTGTCTGGGCTTGAGAACGAAAGGGAAGATTTAGTCATTCCCTTTTTTTTTTTTTTCACAGGCTGCCTCCATCCTTCCATTGCTCATTCACAAATCCCCTGGTGCCTCTGCAGGCAGTTTGTAGGTGGGTCTGAGGTAGAGATGTTGGCATTTTCTGCTGCCTCTGAGAGCAGCAACTCACAGCAGAACAAGGTCCTCCTTAAAGACACAAAGCTCAGCTCTGCCCAGGGCAGAACTGGAGTCTCTGCTTGGCAAAGTAAAGGAAGAGCCAAAGGAAATCCCTGCTGGGGGCATCGACCCCCTGAAGTTTGCATACTTTTTTAGTGATAAAATATAATGCAGATAAAGAAATATCTTAAAAATTAGTTCCCTCCCATCCCTTGCTCTTGCACTGTTGGCATTAACTTTTAATTCCCTGTTTGCATTAACTTTCCCACGCAGTATTTCATTGCCTCTGGCAGCCACACACACCTTCCTTTTTTAAACTGGGCTTGAATAAAGCTGAGCCCTTTTTGAAGTGCTGGACTAAAATCAGAAAGCTGAGCACTGAGCAGAGGGAGGGTTTCTGTGTGGTGCTTCTGAGACTGAAGGTTCTCTTTCTGGTTAATGCATCATTCCCCTTTACAGCCATTTCCTCTGAAGTAAATGGGATTTGGCCATTATACTTTCTGTTTATTGATATATATATCTCCATGCTGAATTGACATTCCCCTGTGCCTTTTTTTTTTATTATTTCCTACCCTGAAATTGCAGGAAGCCAAAAATCCTTCAAGGGTGAGGAGTTAAGTTGGGCAGCACACAGAACTCTGTGCTCTCCCCTTGGTGGGTTGGGGTTAACATGGGCACCACTCACACATTAACATGGAAACCAGGGCAGCAACACCAATTTGCTGGAATGTTCTGTGCCAAGGGGTCAACTGTTTAGCTGGGATGTGCTTCCCAGCAATATTTTGGTCCTGTTTAACCAGGGAGTAGAGAAAGACTTTCCTTGTGACTTGGCATTGAAGAGAGTCACAGAGAGGCTGAAGAATCAAATAAATCTCATTTTTTGTGGTGGCCAAAATGTTGCTGTGCACTGGAAGACACTGCTACCAGGATTTTCTTTGCCCTGCCCTAAAGTCTCCACCTGCAGCTGAACAGAGCATCTCCCCTGCTGTCTGTTCCAAAGGGTTGTTACGTGTTGCTGGTAAATGATTTCCCTGCACTTCATCTCAGAGGCAGCAGAAGTCAAGAGATGCAGGAATTGGGGTGGCTCAAGGGACTGGTAATTCTGCACAAAGCTTTTCATGTGCTCCCTGAACACAGCTGCCATTTTTGCATGACCAGAAGTGGTTACTGTGCGATGCCATTTGGTAGATTCCGAAAAATAAGTTATTTTCTCCCTTTTTCTTTTTTTTTTTTTTTTCTGGTTCATCTGAGTCACAAACCCACTTTTTCTATCACTTGCTACAATGCTACAGCCAACATTTGCTACCCAGCATGAGTAAATCTGAGCCCCCAGTCACCTAATTAAGTGACCTGATTTTCTCAGGAGCAGAATATGTCTCCCAGCTCCCACTGCACTCAGCAGTTGTGAAAACCAGGCCAGTTTTGTATAAGCTGTGACTAGTTTTGAGTACTCAACTTATAAAAAGTTAATCTCGGCCTGGGAGGTGGAAGATGAGCCCTCTCCAAGTTCTGGTTGCAGGGGAGGGATGGAGAGGCCATCAGTCACCATCACCATTCCCTGCTCTAAATTAAAAAATAAGGACAAAAAAAGAGAAGAGCATCTTAGTTTCAGGTCCTGGGATAAAAATATACTTTGGTTTTTGGTTGCTTTCTGCAGCATTTCCTGCTCACACTGAAAATTAAATTGAAAAGGGAGTTTGTTGTCCCTGTGGATGAAAGAGGCAACTTTGGAAATCAGGGATGAACAAACGTCTGAGGGTCCAGCCTGATGTTCTGTGGTGCCCTTTGTGGTCCCCAAGCACTGCAGGAGCTGCAGTTTATTCCAGCAGAGCTCCCACTGTGTGGTTTGTTCCAAGGAAACATCAGTTCATTAAGGGAACAAGTCACCAAGGGTGGGTGGCAGGACAGTGTGTCCTGCTGGATTTTGGATGGCTCCTCCAGAAATCCATGCTGGGGATCTGGGGAGAGGGAATCCCGAGGGAGAGCCTGCTTGGCAACAGTAGCAACTGCTCATTTCCAAGCCAGAGCTTTACTGGGAGGGCAGCTGGAATTCACTGCCCTGGGTTTGACACAGACACGTTGCAGAGGGATGGTTTGGACGCTTCAAACACATTTCCCTGTGTTGCAAAGAGCAACCCAGGCAAGAGGGGAGGTGAGCTGAGCAAAGGCAACGCAACAGAAACGGGTGAGAAACCAGGGCAGGGAACATCCAGCCTCCCTGAGAGGTTCCCACCCTCTGCAAGTTGCTGGGAAGAGCTTTTTGGGGGTTTTTTTTTTCGCTCTTTTGCTCTTTCCCTGAGCTACTTTTCAAAGCAAAGCAGTGGCTGCTTTGCATAGCCCAGCTGAGGCAGGGTCAGCAAGATGAGCACCCCAACCTCCAGTGTTCACCACCCAAGATCTGTCCTTCAGAAGGCAGGTACCCTCAAGTGACCCCTGGCAGATAAGGGCAGCAAAACCCTTCAGGAGGAAGTATTTTCATAATCACACATTTGCAACACAGCACCCCCCTTGCCCCTCTTTTTTTTTTTTACAGCAGCAGCCTTATCTTTCTGCCTTCCTCTTGCTTTCAAAACGAGCAAAAATATGTATATTCAAGGGGTGGGGAAGGCAAGGGCAGAGCTGAAACACAGCTGAGTCAACAGCACATGTCTAGGACTGGTGGGTGACATGGCATGAACATTCTCCATGGTTATCAGGGTGCTTTGGAGAGTTATTGCTGCAAACACAAAGAGAGACAGAAGCACAGTCACACACCAACAAGTGCTGGAGGGTCCAAACTGCCCTGATCTCAGACCCACCTGGACTCTGCCCTTCTTCACTTAAGCAAGAAGCCTTAAAATCACCCATTCATTGGGAATTTTGCCCTTACCCAACTGAAAGCTTGTTTGCTACCCCACCACCCCAACGTTTCTGTCCTTTTCTGCCTCCTCCACTCATCATTTTTCCCCTCAGCATTTCTGCCGTGTGGATTCTGAGTGAGTTCCTCCCTGATCCCCAGCTGCATTTCAGTGCTGATGTGGAGCATTTGGAAAGCACAATTCCACGTCTAGGAGTTAAACAGCACTGTGTTAAATCTGTCCTGCAACTGGAAAACTTGCAGAACAGGAGACCTGGGTCTTCCCAGCTGGAGTGAAAAGAGATTTAGAGGTATCTTGAAGGGGGAAAAAAAGCAGAAGAGCTCTGTCCGTGTAGCAAGGGCTGAAGGGAACTGTTCTAACCTTGAAAATCTCTGGTTTGTGCCCTCTCGTGGCAGTTGAATTTTTCTTGTCCTCAGTGCGACGTCTGCACTTTCAGACCCAAACCTTTCGGTTTTCATGGTGAAATGACCAGCAAAGAGGTCACTGAATGCCAATATCCGGTGTTTCACTGTCCATAAAACTGGGGAAGCAGGGAAAGCCCAGGGGTCCATGTCTCATACTTTGCCCTGGCTGAAAGACTTTGCCCTTTAAACAGTTTGCAGCAATTTGGCAGGAGGCACAACCAAAAAAAAAAAAAAAAAGCCCCAGGGCTGAGAGAATCAGCCTGGAAAGGGTATCCCACAGGTTTCCAAACACACTGTTACAGCCCTTCCCACAGGGAAGGTCCAAGGAATATCTGTGACAGGAGCCACATGACCCAGCAACACTAAAATGCTCTTTATTTTGCTCTCTCCTCAGACAAAAAGCACTGGCATCGACAGGTGGAAGAAGTGTTCAAGCAGCATGCGACTGGTTGGTATGAATAAATGCGAAAAAGTAAAAGAAAATTAGGGAATTTAAGATTTTAGCCATTAGAACGGGGAGTGTAAAACAGGGGCATTATCTGAGAAGCACCTGCAGAATTAGTGGAATGCCATTTAGGTGCTGTAAATAAGCAATCCAGCACCGAGCCTTGTCTGAGAGAGTTTGTGGTCTCGAGTAAAAGCAGAAACAGATGAGAGAAAGAACCCCCCCCTATCTGCAGCTGATGAACAGAAAGCTGAGAGCTGCCTTTTCAAAGATGCTGAGCCATTTCCAGTGCTCTCCCCCCTGTGTTTTGCACTCTGAAAAGGCAGGAAGGCAGAAGCAGTGACCCAGGTTAGATCTTCAGAGCGTCAGCCTGAAACCAAGCCCTGATTTTCTGTGTTACTGAGTGGAGATGGGCTGGGAGGGAGACAGTGCAGCCCTGCCTGACCTGCCAGAGGGGATTCTTCCCATGGAGGGAGAATGAACAAGAGCGAGGACGAGGGAAAGCTGGTTTTGCTGGGAGAAAATATGCCACTATCTGACAATCTAACAGTTGTTTCTCCCTCCCAGGCTCTTCTCCCACGTGGGTGACCCGTTCCTGGACGACCCCCTGCCCCGGGAGTACGTCCTGTACCTGCGCCCCACGGGCCCCCTGGCTCAGAAGCTCTCTGACTTCTGGCAGCAGTCGAAGCAGATCTGTGGGAAGAACAAAGCTCACAACATTTTCCCACATATCACCCTGTGCCAGTTCTTCATGGTAAAGCCCAGCTCCCTCTCTGCCTTTGTGCATGAATTCCTGGGCAGCCCTGGCCAGGCTCAGGATGGAGCTCTGCACGCTTCCCTCGCTCCCTGCACGAGGGTTTGGGGAGCTGGGGGGGTTTGCCTGATGCCTGGGTTTGTTGAGGAGGTAATTGGGTTTTAAGCTGTTGTTTTCAGCCAAGAGCAGCAGCAGAGGACCAAATTCTCATCATCCCAAGTGATGGTTAACACGAGAATGGATGAGGGGGGAGGTTGGGAAGGTCACTTGGGGATAGCTGATCCCGCTTTGAGGCCGAGGGAGGGGCAGGGGATTTCTAAACTGGGATTTTTCTGTGCCCCCCCCCCGTGCTTTTTCTCACTGTGTTATAGCCAAGGTAGGCCATTCACACCCACCCACCCACTCCTTTCCTTTCCCTGCCTGACAAGTGCCTGTCCTTGCCTCGGCAGTGTGAGGACAGCAAGGTGGATGCTCTCACAGAAGCCCTGCAGGCCACCGTGATGCGCTGGAAATGCAAATTCCCTGCCCCCCTGCCCCTGGAGCTCTACACATCCTCCAACTTCATCGGGCTTTTCGTCAAGGAGGAGAGTGCTGAGGTGCTCAAGAAGTTTGCTGCAGACTTTGCTGCGGAGGCGGCTTCGAAGGCAGGTGAGTGGCTGTGCTGGAGCTGCAAAGAGCTCCAGCATTTGGGGCCTTTTCACTTTGGGTGCCACGAAGGAACAAAGCTCATAAAGCCAGTGGTTGATTTTTTAAGTGAAAACTGAAAGCCTCGAGAGGAACACCCCATCAGGTGCTTTGGGTTTCAGTGTTTTCAGCTCAAAGATCACCTCAATCTCGAGTGTCATCTCCCGAAAGGGAAGTTGACATTTGGTGGTTCCTTAACCTTTCTCTCTGTCTGCTGAGTGTTTCCTGCTCCTCTCCCTGCCTCAAGCCACCACCACAAAACTTCCCTTGACCATTTCAAGGCCGTGCTTGTTTTGTCACTGCATTTCTGAGGTGTGAAGAGGACTCTGCCAAGACCCCTGGCAACCCAGGGGAGAACCTTTTCAAACCTCGGTGCTCACACCTCTGGCTCTGTTGTCTGCTCCTCTGCTGCTTGTGGAGGGGGAAGTACCCAGAGCACCCCGTGCTCCCACTGCTGAATAGGCTCTTTGGGTGTCCTCCAGTGACCCCCAAACTCAGAACAGCATGGGAGCACTGGAACAGCTCCCTGACTAATCCTCCCACCCTCCATCACTGGAGGGCTCAGCCTGGACTAGTCACAGCACAACTGGTTTAGCCTTTCACTGTCACAGGCTTAATGTGGAGCTTAAATGCATCAAGATACAGCAAATTCTGCATCCCTGGGGTGTTTCCCTGCTAGACAGGCATCTCATAACCATCCACAACAGCTACAAGTCTCTGCCCCTGGTACAGAGGAGAGATCCAGATGTGCTGTGGGTTCACCACACCTCTGAAATTCATTGCTTTCACTCAACAATGACCTAGAATTTTCCTTCCCTTTGGAAGAGGGAGGGAATGTTATCCTTAAAAATGCACATTTTTAGGCAGTGACAGGCACAGAGACATTGGGCAGGTCCAAGGACGCTGCAGCCACGTGAGAGAGGGACAAATGTTCCCCTCCAGAGTGTTCCCCAGACACACCCTCCAAACCAGCACAGTCAGAGGGGCAATTCTTACCCCAAAAAAAAACCACTGACCCAGAAGAAGGAAGCACCCACGGCTTCCTACAAACTTCTGCCCCTGTGACTGCTCCAATTCAGACCGAACTGGTTCTTTTAGGGGAAGGCAGTTGCTGCATTGCAGCCCCCACAGCTTGGGCAGGTTATCACATTAAAGCCTCTGGGGCTTTTTCAAAACATTTTTTTTTTGATCAGCAAAGAAAAGTAAGAAAAAAAGATGGATAAGCTTGCAAAGCTACCCCTGGCTGGCACTTGGAGCCAAGTCTCTGAATAGCTGCAATTTTGACTGAATAATCAGTAAAATTTAATAGCAATTTTTGGTTGAATAAGCAAGAATAAATTACATGCAAACAATGTATCCTATGATTTCCACATCTACTGGAAGAGTCCCAATATTCCACACACCTTCACCTTTCTGCTTCCTGGAATCTTTTCCTAATGCAGGTTCTTTTTTTTTTTTTTCCTGCAGGATCATTTTTGAATCATTATTATATCAGTGTCTGTTTCCACAATCTGGGAATACCTCACACCCTCAGTGGCTAAACTGGTAATCCAACTAATGCCCAAGGGAAAACATTAAATCACCTTGCATGAACCTGTAAATTCCATGGATTTGTAATTGCTGGTGTAGCAGAGAGAACAAAGGAGGGAGAGGAAAAATTGTGCTTTTTAACTTGCTTATTTTGGAGAGATCCTGGGCTGCTCACGAAAGCCTACCAGTTACCTGGAAAAGTGTCTTTTTTTGGCAGTGTGTTCGGAATGGCAATAACCGTTATCACACCACCCAGAAACAAGTCGTTTGGCAGTTGGGCAGGGAAGCCTCGTCTCCCACCCTGGGGTGACTCAGGGCTGAACCAGACCACAAACCTCTAATAATTTGATCCAAGGTGCAATGCAGAGAACTCACATTTGCCTTCCTCCGAGCCTGTTCAAACTACCCTGCAGTTTGTTCCTCCTGACTGTCTCTCAAAGCCCACCATCTCCTGGCTCCTGGCAGAGGTGACATTTGCCCTCCCAGCACGTCTCACCTCCCATCTCACAGCCAGGGGTTGCTCACCCCCGTCTTCTCCTTGCAGATGTTCACGTGGAGCCCCACAAGAAGCAGCTCCACGTGACACTGGCCTATCACTTCCAGAGCAGCCACCTGCCCACGCTGGAGAAGCTGGCCCAGAACATTGATGTCAAGCTGGGCTGTGACTGGGTGGCCGCGATCTTCTCCCGAGACATTCGCTTCGTCAACCACGAGGTAAAGTTTGGAGCTTGTCTCAGAAAAAAAAACCCACCCCAAACTAACCAGTCATCTTAACAAACAGTCCTTACTGCCTTTCTTTTTTCTTTTTACTCCTGCTGTCCAGACTTGCTGTTTCACCCCCCTCATCCCTTGCTTCTTGCAGCAACAGTGTCCTGCTGGAGTAATTAATTCTAATAATGACTCTCCTCTGAGCTCAACATAAACTGGTCTGATCTCTCCAGAACCAGACCAGTATTTTAACCTGACCAGTATCCAGTTTTGCTGTACAGCCTTGACTTTATTATTAACCACAGCACTTAGTTCCATCATGTAAGAAACATTTACCCTCATATATTTCAATTACTCATATGGGTTCTGTAACTGCAGTATTTAAGTCCTTTAAGATAGTTTCCTTAATAGTGTTGTTTTCCACATAACACACAGAAAAACAATATTAATTCCATTTCACAGATTGGGATCTTGGGCATTGAGAAACCAAAGGTGAGATTCATCTGACCTCACTGTAAATACCCGAGTTAGACCTGTAGTCTGAGGCTCAGTGCAGAGAAACAGGCACCTCCAGAACACGAGACATCTGACCCATCTGAGATGTCTATCTCAGGATGAATCAGTGTCTGGAGGAGGGAACTTCCAGAGGGTGCTTGCTCAGCTCGGGTGTTTAACTCAGCTCCTAAGGTTGGGGTGATGAACCCCACCGAGGTGCATTGCCCAGAACCAGACACACAAAACCTGTGGCCGAGTGGGAAAAGGCAATTTTTCACACAAATGCCAAGGCTCCTGGAGAGCTGACATCTCTCTGAGCCAGCCCAGGCTGTGTGACAGCCTCCTTTCCTATCCAGAGCATCCTTGTGACCTTCAGAAGCTTCACACAGTCAACACTCCTGCTGCTGGCAAAGGCAGTTGCTGCTGAAACCCAGCTCCAGCTTTGCATATCTCACTTCAGGCAGCCACCTGAGAAAGTTTGGGCCATGTGGTATCAGGTGACAGTGACTTGTTTCCACCTTCCTTTGAAGATGCCACACATAGTCTAGAAGGACTGGTGAGGGCTGACACCACCAGGAGAGCAGAGCTGCTCAGCACATGAGGGGTTTCCTTCTTTTCTGCAACAATCCAGAAGTTATTTGTGGCCAGGGGACAAGAATACATCTGTTCCCCTTTTAAACTGGGGACTCTTGTAGCCATTCCCAAGGAACTTTAATGGTATAGACATTTAATACATGTGGATTCCTCATGCTCAGGTGAAGGTCACAGAACTACACTCACTCATCTTTCTCCCACCTTTTAACTTAATCCTGTTCGTGTCAGGAAATACAAAGAAAACAATGTGGCCACAATTTCTCATCACCTGTGTTTTTTCCTGTGCATTCCCATGAACAGCTTTGAGAGCAGCAGGTCACAGATTCAAACCTGTTGCCCTCCCAGCAGTGTCTCTGCCCTGAATTCAAAAGCAACAGCAACAAGAACTGCCCTTTCAGATCAAACGTGTAGGTAAATCAAAAATGGTGACTGACCACTAGGGCTGTCTAAATTCCAGGTCCCAACAAGAACTCAGTTCCATTTTAAACAGGTCTAAGCACACAGTCATGATTTTGCTCAATTTAAAAAATCATCCCCCCTTCCCCTCCTGGTTGTCAAAGATGCCACTGGAATCAAAGAGGGAAGAAGGAGCAAATACCTAGAAAAGCCTTCCAACAGCAAAGAGGGGGAAGCAGCAGGAATTCCCTGAAGGGAAGCTTTCCTGGATAGAGCACAAGGAGAGCTGTTCACACCTTGCTGAGGTTAAAGGTGTGGTGTGGGGCTGTTCCTGCCCCACTCTGCCAGAGGTTCCCTTCCCTTAACAACCCTCTCGTTCATTTGTGCTTTTATTTCTCCCCCAGACTCTGCAGGTGATCTACCCCTACACCCCCCAGAACGACGATGAACTGGAGCTGGTCCCGGGGGATTTCATCTTCATGTCCCCAGTGGAACAAACCAGCACAAGTGAGGGCTGGATTTACGGCATTTCCCTTGCAACCGGCTGCTCGGGGCTGCTGCCCGAGAACTACATCACCAAGGCAGACGAATGTGGCACCTGGGTGTTCCATGGGTAGGTGAAAACCTGCTCAGTCCACTCCCCAGGGCTGGGAAAAGGGGCTCAGCAGCTGGGATTTCACCTGGGTGGGTGAGGAGTCTCCCAGGGCTGCTGAGAATCATAGAATTATAGAATCACAGAACCATAGAATCACAGAATCAGCTGGGTTGGGAGGGACCTCCGACATCATCCAGTCCAACCCTTGATCCAACCCCGCTGTGGTTCCCAGCCCATGGCACTGATGCCACATCCAGTCTCATCTTAAAAACCTCCAGGGATGGAGAATCCCCCACTTCCCTGGGCAGCCCATTCCAATGGCTGAGCACCTTCTCTGGAAAGAAATTCTTTCTAATATCCAACCTAAACCTCCCCTGGCACAGCTGAAGACCCAGCCCTCTTGTCTTGCTGATGGTTGCCTGGGAAAAGAGACCAACCCCCCCCGGCTCCCCCCTCCTGTCAGGGAGTTGCAGAGAGTGAGGAGGTCTCCCCTGAGCCTCCTCTTCTCCAGGCTGAGCCCCCCCAGCTCCCTCAGCCTCTCCTCACAGCACTTGTGCTCCAGTCCCTTCTCCAGCCTCGTTGCTCTCCTCTGGACCTGCTCCAGGACCTCAATATCCTTCCTGAGCTGAGGGCCCAGAACTGGACACAGCACTCCAGGGGTGGCCTCACCAGTGCTGAGTCCAGGGGCAGAATCATTTCCTCAGTGCTGCTGAGAAGGTCTCTGGGGGAAAGGAACTGGCACACCAAGCCCCATCTCCTGAGCCAAGAAGAGCAGATGCTGCCCCCGGGCATGGGGTTAGAGGACAGTGTGACTTTTTTAGCTGAGATGTTCCAGCAGCTATTTCTCACTCATAGGATCACTGCTGGAGCAGATGGCTGCTGCAGACACTGCTGGGGAGACATCTCTGTGGTGGGACCAGGATCAGGAAGGTTTAAATCTGAGCATTAATTCGGGAAGAGACATCTTCTGTGGAAAAGGGCTTGGGATCAGCAACATTTCTTAAGATACTTAAGCAAGATTTTTCAGAAGGCTTCAGGGAGAAGGCAGCCCTCACCTTTTGAATGAGATTATGCCTTATGCCCCTTGATTTTGGTGGGAATTAGCTAAACAGTGACAAAAAAAAGTAGTGCTTGAGGAGTGGGTTGATATCTAAGCAGCCAAATGCCTTTGACAAACCTGGAGCACAGGGAATAGTTTGTATGTAAGGAGAGGGGAGAGGCACATCCTGCCTGCTGCCCCTCTGCCTGCACTGTCTGTGTGAAGGCAGGACTCAATTCAGACCCTCCAATCTGCAATCCAGCAAGACCACCCTTCCTTCTCCTAAAAAAAATACTCTCAGGTCCACTCACACTGCACATTCTGCTCTAGTGGAGCCTGCTTTTTATTCTTACAGTGCCTGCAAGAGTTTTGATGCCCAGGGAGTAGCATGAGCAAGAATTACTGTTGCAGCAGCAGCAACTAAAAGGGAAGCCAAATGTTCTCTAACTCCAGCACCTCTGCCTCCAGGCAAGCAAAGAAAGGAAGTGCCCCTTCCCTTGTTACCACTGAAGGCTATAAATCAGGAATTGGAGCATGAAATGTGGAGCATTTACCAAAACCATTGTGACACACCCAGAAACGGTCTCGTTTTACACAGGGGCTTCCCACAGGGAATATCAGGTAATGGAATGTCATGTGGTCAAAGCCATACAGCAAACTAAGGACAGCCTACCACGGCACTCATGGTAGGGTGGTTCCCTGCACTGCTTTTTCATTCCCAGCAAAGCCAGAAATAGTCACCTCCTCTGCCCCAGAATGGACAGGAGTGCTGTGGATGTTCCACCACAGGCTATTTCAGCTCTTCGTGAGATGCCAAAGCCATTCCCTGCCCCTTTAATAACCCTGAGAAATCAGACTTGGCACAAGTGCCAGGGGAGGGAAAACAGCCCTAATTTTTCCAGCTATATTTGGACCTGAGGAGGTTTTTTCCCCACCCTTTCTTCCTCCTGTTCTGCAGCAAGGGCTGGTTCATTTTCCACAGCGATCCCTCTCCTCTGGATAATGATGAGGGATGTGGCAGAGGGGTCTTTTCCCACCCAGAGCTCAGGACCAGTTGTGACAGAGACCCTTTCTCCATCCTCTGCTTAAACCATCCCCACTCTCCAAGGAACCTTTCCCTCCAGGGCCACAGAGATACCCCTGAGAGAGCAGTGAGGACGAGGCAGCATCCAGAACACAGTGGATGTTGTTCTCTGCCTTCAGCCTCTGTTTGCCTCTTTTTTCCCCTTTGGGAAAAGCTTCCAAACAATGACCTGTGCTTAGAGGATGACTAAGCTGAAATAGCTTCAGTGGTTTCTGTTTTCCAGCAGCATGAAGGAGGTAGAAGACAAGCTGGTGGCTCTTCTCCAGACACAGCAACATAGGGTGCCTTTGCCTCATCATCATTCCCATCTGTAAATAGGTGCCTTGGAATAAGGGCTTAGAGAGAAAGAAAGTCTCAGAAATTGTGTGGCAGCTCCTGGGGGCAAAGGGAAGAGGGGTAACCAAAAACTCCTTAGTGTTCTCCAGGCAGTGTCCTTAAAAAACTGTCACATGGGCAAAGCAGGAAAGGGCTGAGACAGGATGAGGGGCTGGAAGCTGGAAGAAGATTCACTTTGTGCAGCAGTAGAGATGGGTCTGGCTAAGAAATTGAGATTCTTCTCATATTAAGATACCAAGTTTTGGGGTCAGGGAGGATGGATCTGTGTTGAACCTTTGCCTGAGAGGAAAAGTTCCCTGGAGCAGGGCCAGCCCTTGTTGGGAAAACTCACCATGAATAAAACAAACACAGTTAAAATAAACTAGAAGGTCAGGTCTGAAGTGAGGGCAGGAGGCTGCAGAAACTATCAGGACCAACAAGGTGGCTTTTTTCCTCCTTTGAACTGGTGAAAATGGTGTGATCTCACAAATCAGCTCTTAACAAAAACGCAGGTGACCTATTTTTGTTCCTCTGGCAGAGGCACTCAGTGTTATTTCAACAGCTGTGGAGCCCCTCTGAGATTTTATCCTAACTAAATGCCATCAGGAAGCAAGTGCTGGCATATTTAAGGCACTGAAAAGTGCAATCACTAGCAACTATTTCTGTCAAAGCAAATGACCACGTACATTATCTGATAATGGGGGTTTTTTTAATGACTAAGCAAAGGTAACCCACCCAATGTGCTGAGTCAGCAGAGAGGCACTGCAGCTTCTGTAACTGCCTGTCAGGGTTTAGTCCCAAGGGTTTTGGTCAAAGTCCTTGCATGTCTGGGCTTTATTCAGAGGCACCATCATTAGATAAACCCCTTGAGGCAGAGTGGGACCTATTCCATCCATTTGGCTGCACTTAACTGGGAGCACTGGTGAGAATAAATTCCCATGGAGGTGAGAAACAGAATAATCAGCACTGAAAAATGTAGACACAACCACCCAAGCTGATAGTGCCAGGTCCCTACCAGGGGGTAGGAGCTGTTTTGTGCCCAGGGGGAGAGGCAGGGCTGAGCCCCAGCAACAGCTTGTGCTGCAAAAGTGAGGGAAAGCTCCCTGCAGGCTTTAGTCCCCAAATTTTGGTCCACAAGACCACAGTCAGTGACATGCAGCTGGTCCCCAGATGATGGTAGGGAGCATCCTGTGGTGGTGAGGAAGGTTGTGGCACTTCCATGAGAATATTCAGAGCCTCACAGACCAAAGTTTGGGAACTGTTGTTCCCTAAACTGTTTCCAAGGAAACAGCCTGTTGAGGTGGAATTTGTCTCTTCACGTGTGTAGATCACAAATAATAATAAAACACAAATAATAATAAAATAACATTACAACAGGAATTCTCCCCAGCTCCCGAAGGCTGCAGAAATGCCTGGGCACACAAAGCATTCCCAAAGCCAACAACACCTTTCTGGTTTTGGCAGGTCCTACTCAATCCTGAATACTACATCCTCCCCATCCCTTCAAGGCTTCACTGATGGAGCTCTGGAGAGAAGACAGCAGGAAGACCAAGGACCTGGGGATGCAGGGCCACTCACCATCATCTGCCAGAACGTGCAGGTGGGGACCCCCACACCCCTAAATCCACACAGCCTTAGGGACAAGCTGCCAGCCACTGGCTTTTCCCCAAAAACTTATCCCCTGGTCTCTTTTCACCACAGTTACAAGGTAAAGTTCTCTGCAAGCTTCTGAATGACACGATTAACCACAGGCATTGCAGACATTGCTGTCCCCAAACTGGCTCTTAAGAGGGGGTGGCAGAGCCCCATCCTCTGCTCCCTTCAGCACTTTTGTACCACCATAAATTTACCAACATTATAAAATTCATAAAGAGTTCCAGAAATCCATAAAAATCATAAATACAGAAGGCTTTCCTGTAGTGGGTAAAGCAAGAAGTGCCTGGTCTTGACTCCCAGAGCTCAGCCAACCCTTTGCACTCTGATGAAGGTCAAACACCCTGTGATTTCCCTTCCAGCCCCTGAGGATAACCAGCCAGCCAGGGCCTCAGAAACGCTGCCTGTTTGTCTGCAGGCACGGGGAAAGGATGGATGTGGTTTTTGGGAAGTACTGGTTGTCCCAGTGTTTCGATGCCAAAGGTGAGTCTGCTCTGGGGTCTCCCAGGTTTAGAGGGAGGAAGGAGAGGGGCAAATCTTACATAGAACCTGTGGTTTCCTAACACAAATTGATGCTTTTTGTGGTGGCAGGGCTGCAGTCAGAAGCAGAAACACAAGCCAGGGAGGAAATGTTTGTTTGCTAATATTTGGGAAGCTGTTGCAGGAGTGATTATGCTGTAGTTACGTGGCCAAAGAACAAATGTAGTCATGATGTTAGTAATCAGTGTTCAGTGAAAACACTTACTGCCATCAGGAATTTATTTTGCACAGCTGGCTCGCAGTGCTAAGTGAAAATAACCCCACTAAAAGTACAGCTCAGGGTGGCTTTTTGGTGTTTTCAACCCAGTAATATGCTTGAGTTTCAGACTATAGTTAACGAACTGTAACTCCAGGCTCTGTTGGCATTAGAACTAATCAGAAATTTGTCCCAAAAGTCTTTTTTATATTTAAAACATAAGCAATATCTTGCAGCCAAAGGATGATTTCACAACTGCCTTCTTTCTAACTTCTGGCAGAAGAGCTCTGACATTTCGACCTCCTGGGAGAGCGTGACCTTCGGGGTTTCTTTTGTTGTGGGACAGAAATCGTTTTCCCATGGAGTAAACTGCCCTAAAGATAACTTTTAAAAGCATCAGCAGCGTCCTTTGCTGCTTTTGAACCGCTGAAAGCCATTTCACTTCATTTTGGGAGATTCCTGGTGGTTTTTACGGGGGGAAAACTGCTCAAGAGCCAGGGCTGGGCAGCGCCCGCAGGACGTGGGTGGTGGAAGAGGGTAGGAGAAGGTGTGATGCTTCTGTGTCTCTCTGAAGGAACTAATTCCAGCTTGGAACCTTTCCCTCCAGGAAGGTACATGCGCAGCAACCTGAACATGCCTCACAATTTACCTCAGAGAAGTGGTGGGTTCAGGGATTACGAGAAGGACGCTCCCATCACCGTGCTGGGCTGCACGCAGGCCAGGCTGGTTGGTAAGTCCTCCTCAGAAAAGGGGTCTGAGCTGAAGCAGGGGAGGCTTGGATTGGATATTAGGAAGGAATTCTTCCCTGTGAGGGTGGAGAGTGGGCTGGAGAGGGCTTAGAGGGATGCAGAAACACAAGGATTGAGGTGGAAATTTTGGGGTGCGACTCTTCTGCCTCGAGCTCCTTCCAGTTTAAGCACAAGAGGGTCAAGTGGACCTGTTGGATCCTGAGGATGCTCTGGGGGCTGGAGCTGCTCTGCTGTGGGGACAGGCTGGGAGAGCTGGGGGTGGCAGAAGGCTCCAGGTACACCTGAGACCCCCTTCCAGTGCCTAAAGGGGCTCCAGGAGAGCTGAGGAGGGACTCGGGACAAGGGATGGAGGGACAGGACACAGGGAATGGCTTCCCACTGCCAGAGGGCAGGGAGAGATGGGATATTGGGAAGGAATCTTCCCTGCAAGGATGGTGAGGGACTGGGATGGAATTCCCAGAGAAGCTGTGGCTGCCCCATCCCTGGAAGTGTCCAAGGTCAGGTTGGACAGGGCTTGGAGCAACCTGGGCTGGTGGAAGGTGTCCCTGCCCATGGCGGGGGGTGGGACTGGATGAGCTTTGAGGTCCCTTCCAACACAAACCATTCCAAGATCCTGTGGAGATCTTACCCAGGAAGCTTTGCTGTCTTCCTCCCACACACTCAGCCAAGAGAAAGATAAAGTGCAAGGCAATAAAAAATGAATTGGGTGCCCTGAACAAAGGAGATTTTGACGTTTCCAGGAGCTTTACAAAGTCCCTTCACCTTCCCCAGCAATTTTTCCCTCTTTCAAAGGAAACCTTTTCTCCTTCAGCTGCTGCAGCTGAGGGAAAAGGCAAAGCAGGAAATCTGGGGCATGGGATGAAATGGGAGCCATCAGCAGGGTGGGTGCCTTTGGAATACACTGTTATTACCAGCAGGGTGACAGTCACCTCATGCAAAATATGCTCCTGCCTTGATTTTCACCATCTTCCTTTGCCTCCCCAATATTCTTTTCTCGAGCTGCCTGGCTTTATGTCATCAAAACCATAAATTATCAAGTCAAAATTATTTCCAGTGTTCTCCCACACCCCCCATCATTGTCCCTGAATTCTGAGCCTCTCTGTGCATAGACAGAAAACCATTTGGTGGCCCAAGAGTGCTGTGATTAGAGGAGCCCAGCCCCACAAAGACACGAGCCTCAGCACTCAGCATTTCCTCAGACTCAGATCCTTCAGATCCTTCCCCTTGGTCACAGCCAAAGTAGGGCAGCTAAAATTACACTTGCTTCTTTAAACAGAAATAAATCCCCGTGCAGCAGCAGGATGCTCGGGCTCCACATGGCACCAGGGTTTGCAATATGCCCATGACAGCAGGGCAGTCTGAGCACACTTTGCTGGTGGCACTGGAGGGGGCTGAGGACACAACTGCAGCTGCAAGTGTGACCTTGTGGTGCTGGAGCCAGAATTCCTCTGATGACTGAAGCCAAAGAGCAGCTTCCCTGTGAGGGAGGGGTGGTAGATCCCTCCTAAATTACCCTTCTCCTTCTAAATTACCCCACTTCTCTCAAGAGATTTACAGACCTTGACATGGAGCCAGGGTTAACGACCCCTTCTTGCTCCCACTCCTTTGTCCTGCCTCTTCAAACAGAGCAAAAATGTAATTCTTGCTTCCTACAAGCCTGTGCACATCCCTGTTCTCCTTTGGTTCCCTGAGGCATTGCAAGAATATTAATAACCCTGAGAGTGGAGCTGATTCTTATCTAATTTTCAGTGATCTCCCACCTGTGTAATGAAATGGTAATTTATACTAGAGTTGAGCCAATTGAATTAAGTTGGGTTGAGTTTTGTTGAATCGCTCTGATTTACAGCTTATAAATGAAATCAAATCAAATCCAAGCCCTCCCCAGTTTTTCTGAGCACACTGGTTGCTTTTTGGCTGGACCCAGGGGATGCAGGACCTGAGCAGCTCCTTGCTGGGTGGCTGCGGGTTGTTGTTGTTGATATTGCAGTGCCACTTGTCTGATTTTACTCACAGGAGGTAAAACTTCCTTGCAGGTGAAGCCTTGCTAGAAACTAATACCATTGTAGACTACATCTACAGCTCCCCATCCCTGAGGTGTGTGCAGACAGCACACAACATCCTGAAAGGTGAGAACACACAACATTCCTCTCACTTTCTGGGTAAAACACTGATATGGGAGACCCAGGGGAAGGGGAATTCAGGGTGAGGATTATCTCTGTGGGAATATATTTTATATTAGCACAAAAGAACCCTTTTTTAATTGCCATTTAATTTTAATGTAGCTGCCAGCCAGAGGTTTACATTCCCTGGCACATCCTACCTTATATATTAAATATTTCATCTTCCATACCTGCCATCGATCAACTGATTAAAACAATTCACAAACAATCAAACTGAACTGTTAAAGCTGCCAAGTCTTGCTGCCTCCCTCTCCAGCTGCTTCCATTGATCCCTGGCCTCTTCTCTCCCTCTTCCAGGTATGCAACAGGAGAACAACCTGAAAATCCGGATAGAGCCAGGCTTGTTCGAGTGGACCAAGTGGGTCTCTGGGAACACACTACCTGCCTGGATCCCCCCTGTGGATTTAGCTGCAGCTACTCTAAGCGTTGATACAACCTACAGGTAGCAGAAAAAGGGAGGGGAAAGGGTGTTTTTCAAGTTTAGGCAGTGCCTGGAAGAGCTGCTGAGGCTCCCAAAATAAACTCAGAGCAGGTTCCAGGCTGCTGGGCTGAACATGACGTGAAAATGGCTCATTATAAACCAAATTTTTTCCACACACCTGCCTAAAGAAACACAAAGGAGCATCTCTACTGCAGGAGGAACACAAGCACACCCAGCTGCCTTCACTAAGTGATCCCCATCAGAGGAAACAATTATCATTTTCCCCAATTATTCCTTCTTGAAGTTTAAAAATCATCACAGCGGTCCTGGCACAAGTTCTGGGGACTGAGGGAAAGAGGAGAGTTAAAGAACAGATACCTTGAGATGAATCATAACCTGCACTTAGAACTTATATTGCTTCTTCCAGTTTACTGTGTGTGTTTTTCTGCTCACAGACCTCATATTCCTGTCAGCAAGTTGGTGGTTTCTGAATCTTATGACACCTACATAAGCAGAAGCTACCAAGTAACAAAGGAAATCATCAGTGAATGTAAAGGCAAAGGTAAGTGCTGCAGAGGGGCTGAAAAAACAAGCCAGGCTGGCTGGGATGTGAATGCCAATATTCCTGACCAGCCTTTCCCTCTTAAGGGGGGGAATTCCCATACATGGATCTCTCATCCCTCTCCCAGAGACACTGGAAACTCCTGCAAGTGTCAGAACTATGAGTTGAAATGCATTCACCTTATGAGAAAGGTCCATAAACTTAAATAACAAGGTATTTTAGGGATTGCTGCCCAACCCAAGGGAATAAATGAGCTATTTTTGCACTCTGCTGTCTTCCCAGCATCAGATGGGGCATCATCCCTCCTCTAGCTGAGCTCCTCCTCTGAAATATATCCCCCAGAAAGACCTTAAAACGTTTCTCCAAGCACAATATTGAGATTTAAAAAAAAAAACAACAAACCTCTAGTTGTTATTTTTCATTCACAACATAGAAATGGGATGTTTCTAAGGTCTGGTGTTTCTACTCATTTCATTTCACTGATCTGTCTCTAAGCTTTTGCTTTAATAGTTTGCACACAAAACTTCAATAGCACAGTGGGGCATTGGTTGTAAAGGAGCTTGGAAATGGAAATGTGAAATTACCACAGTGGAAAAACAGCAAGAGGAATTAAAGTGTTTGTTGGAACAGGAATTGATGTTTGTGTAGGCAAAAAGCACCTGCTTCCCAAGACAGATGAAATCTCACTGCAATTCTTGTTTTCTTCAGAAAGCATCAAAAACTAAGTAGCACTGAGTTAACCATCATCCTGAAAATTGAGAAATGCTTTAAATATGTTAATAAATCACATTTTTCCTCCCTAATACACAGCTTGATGTGTTGTTACGTGATAAGTTGAAACTGGTTTTTTTAATGGTCTGCTTGATCTTGTGCACCAGTGCCTGAATTTGGCTTCATCTCCCTCTTTAACCTGTTTTTCTCCCTTTATTTCAGGAAATAACATCCTGATAGTGGCCCATGCATCCTCCCTGGAGGCCTGTACCTGCCAGCTCCAAGGGCTGTCCCCACAGAACTCCAAGGACTTCGTGCAGATGGTCCGAAAGGTAATTCCCACCAAGGGGCAAAGCTCTGGCTTTGCAAGGAGGAGAAGCAGTTTGAAATCTGCTCTGCCAGACAGAGACACTTTGTTCTGCCCGAGTTTCACTCCTTTCAGCAGTCAGGGGAGTGCAGAAGGTTGATTTAAGAGGCTGATGGTCTGAGAGCATCCCTGCTGTCACTGTGGGATCAGGTGCCCAGCTCCAGGTGGGCTGGCAGTGACTCTGCCCTGGTTTTCTGGGGACCAGGGGCTGTGCAGAGACTCCCACAGTGCCCAGAACACTCTCACCACAGTGGCCAGGGCACTTCTGACCTGCACTCCCCCTTCTCATCTCGCTCACTGCCGTAGGAAAGGACTGAAAACTATGATGAGTTTTTTTATCACCTTCACTCCTTTCTTCCAGCCCTGCCCAGGGAGAGGGCACTGCCCACTGCCAGGCCCCACTGGGGTATCCTGAGCTGATCTGCAGGATCCATATTTCCCTGCAGAGCTGTGCTGGCCTTCAGGGTTTGGGAACCACGTCAGCCAACACCTTTGGTGTGAACTGGCCTGTATTTAAACCAAGATACAAGGCTATAATCTGTCTTTCCCCGAGTTTTGCACATAAAAAGGTGCACAGTCAATCACAGCTGATTTCTGGCCCATATTTAAACCAAAGATACAAGGCTATAATCTGTCTTTCCCAGAGTTTTGCACACACAAAGATGCACAGTGTCTGTCACACCTGAGTCCTACAATCCCCTTCTGAAAAAGGGCTTTGGGGAGAGAGAAAGAGAGAAGGTGGTGAAATGATTCAGCAGCACAGCAGGACTTCACCCCTGAAGGCAGCTCAGCTCAATCCCTGCTTGTTATTACCTCTCTTTCCATCTCTCTTCCCACAGATTCCATACCTGGGGTTTTGCTCCTGTGAAGAACTGGGAGACACGGGTGTTTGGCAGCTCACAGACCCCCCCATCCTCCCTCTCACACATGGACCAACTGGAGGCTTTAACTGGAGAGAAACCTTACTGCAGGAATAGGCAAAGCCACCCCAGCCAGGAAAACCCAACCCATGGCCTTTGGAAGCGTTGGAGAATGTCTCTTCTCTCTTGTGTTTTATTGACAGTGGAAAAACAGTCATCCCATGCCCAGGGGGTCACCCAAGCAGCTGTCCTGGTGTATCTCACACAGCCACAGTCACGCAAAGAGTCTCACCTACGACTAAAATACAGAAAGGGACTGATTTCAGGGGGAAAAAATATATTAAAATACAGGTTTGAAGGTCTTGCACAGCACAGAGTCTGTGCTGAGCCACGTTCCCACCTCAGAGGGAGCCCTGGTGACACTTTCACTGCCATCTGCACCCCGTTAGGAACACCCAGCACTGTGTCACTGGAGCATTCAGGAGGCTGGGGCTGGTTTTTTTCCACTACTATTTTTGCAGAGCATTAGCAGGCTCCTCCAGCCCCACGTGTGAGCAGGGGCTGCGCTCACAGCCCCCAAATTCTCAGCACCTTTTCATCACCCCCAGCTGCAAAGGAGGGTCCAGCAGCAGGTTGTTCCTCTCCTGTGTCTGAGCACTGTGGTGGGTGTTGTGCTGGATGCAGAGGTTGAGGGATGTTGACCTGCACCACAGGACAATCCCGAATTTCCCATCAGTTACAGGTGAAGTTTGAGCATCAAAAGTTGTTGTGAACAAAGACTGGGAGCAGTTTCTTTTAAGGGGAGATAAAATAAACCTATTTCAACCAAACCTGGAGGATTTACAAAGTTCAGGGTTGGGTGTTTTTTTCCCTTTACTTTGGTTATTGAAACCCATCCCTGTGCACAGACACAGCCTAAAGCATCTGTGCCATTTCAATTCCCTTCAGAAAAGGGGTTTCCCTTTTCTACTGAGATTTTGTACTGGTCATTCACACAGGGGTGGCTTTCTGTCCCCTGGAAGCTATTTTTTTTTTTTTTTGCCAGCCCTGGTGAGATTCTGCAGTAAGCAGCTCTCTCCAGGAGGGAATGATGAAACTCAAAAAGATGCTGGAATTCAGTGCTTTGCTTCCTTATCCTTAATTCCCAAGTGCCATCTGTCATAAAGACAAAGCAGCTGAAAAAAAAATAAACCCAGTACACTTAAATTTAGGAGCAACATGCTTTGGCCTATGAAGATGCTATTTATCCAGTGGGGGAAGGGTTAGGATTTTGGGAGAAGGGGAAGAGGAGAGTTTCCATCTTTAACTAAAATCTTTGGAATCACAAGAGGAGTCCTCCTGGTGCAAGGGCCTGCAGGATGCCAGTGCCAGCTGTGTCACAGGAGAAGCAAAATACACCACAGTGGGTAGTTTAGAGAATAAAGTGGCATCAGAGCGGGGGGTTGTTGGATTAGAATTATCTAAATCATCAGCCTTGGATGAAAATGTTGCTGCAGACACTTGTATGGATCTCATCACTGTCAGAAGGTACTTAAAAATGTGTTGAAGTGGGATGATAGAGATTTAGGCTATTTAGGCATAGCCCTGTCTTGGTTTGAGCCATAAATCTGAGTATTCCCAGAAACAGAATCATCCCAGAATGGTTTGGGTTGGAAGGGACCTTAAAGCTCATCTCATTCCACCCCCCTGCCATGGGCAGAGACACCTTCCACTGGACCAACATCCAGCCTGGCCTTGGACACTCCCAGGGACGGGGCATCAACAATTTCACTGGGCAACAAAGGGTAAAAACAAGGTAACAATAAAAAAAATAGCATCAAAGGCACATTCAGATGTACCAGGGAGACATTCCAGCATCCTTCTGTCCTGCTTTTCCTCTGCAGAAAGTGTCAGAGCCCTCATTTGAAATGTGTGAACGGCACATGGGTCAATTTGATGTAGGTTTAATATTCCTAGCTCAGAGTTGCCTTCGTGTTGATTTATTTTAAGCCATCCAGCCTTCAGCAGGACTGGTCCCACCTCCACCAGGACACACCCAAGCTGCCTTTCCAGCAGCCAGAACGAAGCAGGAGTCACAAACTGCAATTCCCTTTTCCTAAATGAGGCAAAACCGGGATGCACCAGACTCAGATGTCACCAGACTCAGACAAGCTCAGCTTGTCTCTGGGTTTAATTGAGCTTGACCACCAGATTCTGTACCTATTTCCAGCCAGCACAGAGCTCATCCTGTGCAAAATCCTGTCCACTGTCACCACCCACAGGAATATTCTGGGATTTGGACCTTTCTGCCCGTGTAACACACCCTGGGCCACTTGTAAGTGCATTATTATCCCAGGGATGTAACTGCAAAGTCAGGGAGATAATTCATGGGATGACAGAGCAAACTGCTCCTGGGCAGGTTTATCACTGTCAGGTTTAATTTTTAATTGTAATTTAAACTGGTTTGGGCTGTGCAAAGACATCCTGAAGAGCATTTCTGGCTTGTTTTCCTCCACGCTTAAAAACTAAGTAGTTGACAATCACACCAAAAGAAATTTGGTTCCTGATGTGGAATTCTCCAGATTGCTTTTTGTTTCATGCTGGGGGCCAGCCAGATGTAATTTGGGCAATAAATAGTAGTATATTATAATATCTATTGCCTGTACAAAGCAGTGGAGGCAATAAAATCATTATATTATAGTATTTATTGCCTGTACAAAGCAGTGGAGGCTGCTCAGGCCCTGCTGCAGTTAAGTGACATTAAAAGAAGTGGTTTTTTTTTTTAAGCAGAAGCATGAAACAGAGAGGGAACAAAACCTGAGTGCACAATTTGAATAGTGTACAAGCTGCTCTTTGCATATAGTGATATAGAAGAATGTTCTGTTGGAGAAGGTAGTGGTAAAATACTCTCTTCTTAAAGAAAAAAAAAAAGTATATTTTTTGATGTTTGGGAAAGTATTTTGACAATTGTAGTCTTGTCTCGAACTAGGTGTCAAGAAAGAAAGAAAAAAATCTTATTTTCTTCTAGCATTTTGATTTCTCTTTGGGGTTTTGTGTTGTCTTATGTTGGTAAGGTTTATTTAGGGGGGCGGGGAAAGAATAAAAATGTGTTCCTTTTAAATTTTTAATTGAGAAATTAAGGGTACAAAACAATTGCTGCTTCACTTTCACTCCATTGCTGCTCATTAGTGTGTGTTTAAGTCACTCCAGGGTTTTGTCCTAAATTTAGACTTGATCTATGTCAAGTCTTTCCCTTGCCTTCACTTTGAGCTGCATCAGATCCCAACAGTCTCATCAGGTTGAAGGCAAATAGTTCCCAGATTTTTCCCTAATTAAGGAATAAAGCTGCCAAGAATAAATTGTTAATCCAGTATTTTTGTTAATTGCAGCTCATGGGTTGGGTTAGAAAAATAAAAGAGTCAAATTGACGCTGTCAACTGAAATCACAGAGCTTTGCTTTTTTTATGCAAAATGAGGATCCAGACCATAATAACTTAAAAAAAAAAAAACACAGTTATTTCCCTTTTCTCTTAGATTGAACAGTTTCAGGAAGAAGTTGGCTGAGAGCAGGAGCCTCCTTCTCCCCTCTGATATTACATTTTAGTGTCAACGTTACCGTGAGAGTGATAATTTTTAATCACCAAAGAACGAGTTTGGTTTGTGGTTTGCTTTGTTTCTTAAAAAAAGAGCCTGAGCACAGAGGAAATTATTTTTAAGTTAAAAATACACATGAGATGGTGGGGGCAGACATGCTTGAAACGGTGAATCAATGAAGAAAACAAATCTAATTAAGCAGTTGGTGTGATTGGCTGCAAACACCCTAAATTGCTACTTGCTGCTCACCACTTCCTCAAATACTTGTTCCCTGGGGAATATTCATGACCTGCACATGCTTCCTGACAGAAAACACACAGCCAGTTCCTTTATTATGTCCCATTCAAATGTATTTTCTGAAGTTTCACTCAGTGACATCCCTTCAAACTCGATGTTATCAACTTTCCTGGTGTTTCATTTTCAACCTGTTGTAGTATTCTGTTTATTATGTTGTGGTTTTTTTTTTTTTTTTTTTTTTTAGTATGAGCAGATTGTATTTATTTGAGGGGGAAAAAAAAATGTTTGCTGTTTAAAAAAAAAACAATAATTGTATTGCCAAAAATAGCTGTAATTACCTGTGACATCTGTATTTTTTTATTTTGGGGGCGGGAGGGGGGGTTGGTTGGTTGTTTTTAATCTCAGTTTCGAGTGCTAACAACTGTTAAAACAACCACTGCAGTTTAATTCGCTTCTGACATTAAATGGATTTCTCGGAAGTCAGACAAAAAAAAAAAAAAGTCTCATAGGTGATTTAATAAAGATGCCAAACACCCTTCCTATTCCAGTTTTCCTCTGGAGCGTGTTGGAATTTGAGGCACGTTTTTGTTCCCTGCACTGATGGTGAAGTTCATCCGTTTGGCAGCAGATGGCACAAAACCCTCTCGAGTGTGGTTTTCCCTGGGGTCTCATCTCCTTGTTGCCTTTCCCCCCCCAGACTTATTTCATGTGTGGAATGGAAGCACAACTTCTAAACCCAAAGCGCTGCTAACTTAAATTTGGATTTCTTTTTTTAATCCAGCAATAGTTTTATCAGCCAGAGAGACTCTTCCCTTTCAAACCAACTCCATGAATTCATGACCTGCAGCTCTGTACCCCAGTAAAATTGATTATATTATGATTAACATAGAAACTGTAACTTTCATAAATCAGATGTACACTAATAGAATGATGCACTTCCCTCCACCTGAAAGTTTAATGGAAACAGTTTCTAATAAATTAGAAGCCAAACCAGTAATGCATTTATAATTAACCATTTTGTCCACTTCCCTCAAGCCCACAGCCTGCAAGTGCACACAGCTTTTAAGCCATAATTCTGACCTTATTAAAGTCAGTTTATTTTGACAGTAATAGCCATTTACACTAAATTTTGGGCAGTTGCAAAGAAAGCTTAGGATGTGCCAAAGCCTTTTGGAAGTCACCACACATAGTTACACCATGAAACACATGGAAAAATCTTGTGAAAAATCACAGACCAAGGGGGGACAGAAGGTTTTCTATGTCTCAGATCACTCCTGAAATAATCAGACCTGCAAGGGGACACGGGGAACCCAAATTGTGCCACCAGTCCTGTGGGACCTGCTCACTGCCCCCATCCCTGCCCCCCGTGCTCGGTGCTCAGCAAACCTTTCACAACCACCTCACCCCAGCTCTGCCCTCCCTGGAGAGCCACAAACCACACACAGCAAAAATTACCTTTCTCTCATTATTTCACCCCAACAAAAAGAGCCAAACAAACCTCCTGGGGCAAGAGCTGAGTGACACAAGGACTTTTTTTTTCAGGGATTTAAACCACACAGTCAGATTTTCAAGCCACCTTGCTCTGCCTTCCCATTTTGGGAATGAAATCCTGGACACGGCGCAGCTGGAGCATCACAGGGTCATGGTTCTCTTAACCTTTTCCTGCTCCCCCCCCCCGTGCATCTCTCCAAGTCCCCCCATCCTGTCGCCCACCAGTTTCATTTTTGGGCCCTCTGAGGTCACTGATTTCTCAGCAGTCGCCAACACACGGGAAATGTGAGGTGGGGGCAGAGGAGAGTGGAACAGCGGCGAGAAGGGAAGGGGCAGAGACCCCGGTGGGGATGAAGTCATGGGAAATCTGCTCCCCCCGGGCTGAAAAGGGACCTGCTGCTGCTCAGCAGCCCCAGCAGAGAGAGGAAGCCAGCACTGCCTGTCCCCAGAGCACAGCATGACTGTCACCAGGGTGCTGCACGCCGTGGCTCTGCTCCTCGTGCAAGGTAAGACCTCTGGATTATTTTGCTCCACCTCCCCTTTGCGCCCAGTCCAGCCTGGAGAGCTCTATTCCCAGAGTTCCAGCTTTGCTACCTTGTTTTCTGGTTGACACCGAGATATTGTGACTCCACTCCCAAAGCTGAGTCTCAGCTGACTCCAAAAACCAGGATCTGTGAGACCAAGTCACCTCCCAGCAGCTGGTGACATACTGGAGATAACAAGGGATTCTCCCTTAAATTGGGACAGTAGATCACTGCTTACTTTCCATAGCTTGGATATCTGTGTGTGCATTGCGGAAAAAGAGGCTGATAAAAGTCAGAATAATTTAAAAAGCACTTGCAAAGTACTTTGCAAAAAGAAAAGCACTTTAAATGCTCCTGCTAGAGGATGTAGCTTATACCTGCTTTGCTAATCTTCTCTCTTTCCTACACAGAAGTGTGAGAGATTCATATTTGACTGTGTCAGACAGGGAAAGATTTAAGGAAAAAAACAGCAGGACAGTGATCCTTGCCCAGGATTCCTGCAGGCTTCACTCCTGAGCTGTGCAGGAGGAATGAATGTGTGGTCCCTCTCCCTTACCAGTTCCTGGAGCAGAAACCACAGCAGGGCTGCTGCTGATACTTTGCTAATGCCCTCAGAAGCTTCTGCTCAGAGTATAAACCCTCTCCCCCCTCACTGCCAGACTCCTGAAGGATGAACCTGGATCTTGCTGACCACCACTGGCTGCTTTGGGCAGCACAATTCACTCAAGCTCCACTCACAGGTCAAAAATAACCCTTTAAACAGGGTGTCTGTGTGGGCCACAGGTTCAGAGAGCTCTGCTCTGAGTGCACATCTCAGTGCACTGAGTTCTCAGTGCACTTCCTGGGGGCTCTTAGAACAGCAACCAGAGGCATGAATTACTCTGCTCAGTGCACCCTGCAATTTCTAGCACAAAATTGTTGCTCTTTCTTGCCCAGAAGGTGGATATTTCACTGTATTTGATGCCAGCCTCGCTTTTCCAAGTGGGGCACACGTGGCACAAGAAGCCCTGTCCCCTGGAGCTGGCACAGGAGCATCTCCCACTCCCCAGTGACTGCAGATCACAACCAGGTCCAACTGCCCCCTGTGCAGGGAACATTTGACCTGTGAGTCATGGGCTGGGCAAAGCCATGGGCTCCCATGGAAATTACATGTATGCTCTGCTTCAGAAAAGCAAACAACACCCCCATTTCTGGCTCAGTCTTGCTGTTCTCACCTCCAGAGGTGTGATTTGAAAAGACCCCACACTGCTGGGGGTGACAGGAAACCATCACGATGAAGAAAGGCCCCATGGAAAACCACAGACAACCCTCCTCTGCCACTCAAACAACACTGCACCTCCTTCCACAAGGGCCACAAACCCCCCTGGGAAACAATTGTCTTACAGGGAGACAAGTCCTTCCCCTGTTTCCAGTGGGAAAATAACAGTTTCCAGCAACGATTCTCTACAAAAGCTTCATTTCTGATACATTTAAAATCTTCAAGAACATGAAAAGCTTTCCCAAAGCCCAGAAAGATTCATTTCCCCAAACTGCAGTAGGAACTTGCAGCAAAGAGCTACCCAGAAAATAAAATCAAAACACATAAAAAGGGCATAAAAAGCAAAACCCTCTTACTGCCTATTTACTTAACTCCAACCCAGGCACTGCTCTTAGTAATTTCTCCAGGGCTTGCCTTTTTTCTGGAGAAGGTAATTCATTCCAGGTCAAATATCTTCACAGAAAACATTATATATCTTAGAATGTCTGGAGAGAGCAAAAGACATTTTACTGTAAAATGAACTGAGAGAAGAGAATGAAATTTCATTTTAGTAACCTGTGCCAGGCCAGGTTTGTGGATCTTATCTTGGCAAGAAGTTTCCAAGCAGTTGCAGCATCATGATTTCTGAATAAAAGAGCCTCATTTTTCAGAGGTGCTGAAAAAAAATCCTCCGTTGCTCAGTCTCACACACTTGCAAATCAGGTTCAACAGCTCCTCAGTGAAACACAGAATTACAGAATCACAGAATGGTTTGGGTTGGAAGGGACCTCAAAGACCATGGAGTTCCAATAATGGAATAAAGAAAATGAATGTTTTAACATGCAGGGAGCAAGGGCATTAAATGGGTCTACTACCAATCCTTTAATGGTTAATAACATTTAATAACTAAATCTGGTTGTGCTGATCACAAACCTGTGGTACAAGTCCCCACTGACCTCTCTAACGACTGTGATTGATTTATATCAGTACAACCACACTGGTACGTTTCCCAGGGCAGAAAAACCCCTTGGGAAAAAGGACAGTTGCAGTATTACTGGGTACAAAACATTGTGAAGTTTATTGTCACACTTCAAGAGGTGTTTTTTTCCCCCCCTCGGGCTGTGGCAGGGGGGTTTCCAGGGGCTGGCAGTGAAACTGTGACTGTGAAGGAAGGAGAAGACCTGACCCTGCACTGCACCTTCAGCCCCCCCAGCGCTGCCCCCAGCTCTGCTCTGCAGTGGTTGAACCCTCGTGGTTTCACCATTTTTCTCAACAGCCAGCAGGGTGAGTGTGAAGAGCTGCTGTTCCACTCTCCACGGGGGTGGGGGTCACTCGGGGTGGGCTGGCCCAGCTCCTGCTCTGACTCACCCACCACCCAACCCCTCCAGGGGCTTTCACAGTG